GTGTCTATTCGCACGTATTCATGCGACCGCCGTGTGTCGTACTCTGGTGCAGAAACGCTCTCGCCAAAATTGGCACGTTGGTTACGTGCGACGACTGACACGCATCGCTGTGCTTTAACCAGAGAGGAAAGCAACGTTGTCTGTTTTTCCAAATGGACCGTAGTTTATCTCAATTTTACCATCTCTCGCGTGCACTCGGGATATGCACAGTCACAGAATTTTATTTTCAAACGAACAAACTGATTTTCATTTTTTTTTCCCGTTTGTCGGGATAACTTTTTTTTTTACTACGTTGATAATCCGAGAGCGTATCCTCTCGAAATTTTAAATTCTACAATATTTTTATGTGATTCGCGTAAAATTGGACGTTTTCAAATTGCGGCATGTGCACAACATTCCTTTTTCGAGATAGCTTATCGCTCGTCGTTATAGTCCTTATCGATTTGAAACGTTTATAGCCGATAACTTCCCCGTATCGTATCTCTCCAGTCGTACCACTTTTTTCCATCCTACGAGATTCACTTTGCTTCTCTTTTCACGTGCATTTTGACAAAATTTTTACCTGACAATTTCTTGTACAATTTACGTGGTCAACCTGCTGCCCAATGTCCCGTTCAATTTGACATCCGACGTTCACTGAGATTCTTCCGACAGAGTTACACGATTGTATAATCGACTCTCAATTCCATTCTCTCCATCTTACGTAACGAGTCGTTTTCCTTGTAATGCAATAATCTTAGTACCTATCGTTGCTATTATTAGTCTCGTTCCGATAATTTACGAGAATCGATTTACTATCGGCCTTGACTCGCGCAAATACCTTGGTTAAAACTCTAAAATGTATGACGTTTCTCAAGAACTACGTAAATCCAACCTCAAACTTCCGAGCGGACGTCGCGTCATTATCTGTTATTCATAACCTAAACGATTCGTAATATAGACGGGACTCGGTGACGATTAAAAATAGTGTATAAAAAAAATGATGAATTTTTTCAAATTTATAGAATTCAATTTTTTTTTTAATTTTATCAAATCCATTAGTTTCATTTTTAATTTGACTTTTTTTTTTCAGTACCTCACGTTACTGCATATCTTTAACAGTGATTCTCTTATCGGTGCCATATTAACAACTTGCAATTTTTATTTACTGCTCTATGATAATAAGAACAAATAACATAATACGCAAGGTCTCCAGCGCTGGCTCTTAGCGACTTCCACACGAGCATCCTCGTGCGACATACAGCACGCGGTGATTCTTACTTACTAATATCACTATAGCTATTACCAGGAATACAAACAATAGCCATGATAACGCACCGAGTTCTAGCCAACAGATGTACAGTCGTTGTTGATCGAACTATTCGTCACGAAGTCACGCCTACTACGACCACACGTTCCCCATTGGAATTAGCCATTGTAGCTTAAAAATCTATAATCGTGATAAGCGTCTATTGATAACAACATTTTACAATGAACCCGTTGCATAAATCGAAGAAACTTGGATTTCAATATCATTACCTTGTACCAGAACGTTATCGGTACCAGTTACCAATTCATTGTGAAAATAATCAGATAAAAAAAATAATAATAATACTTACTACCAAAAATTATTCCCGTGCCACAATTTTGATTTTTTTTTTTTTTTTTTTTTTTTTTT